TTCCTATGCTTATGAGCCATTTAATGCAACAGGTTTACTAATAAGTTGCCAATAAGGAAACCAAATGTTTTCGGATATATAAGAGATGTAATTCAAAGGTACCTTTGGCTGAGTGGGATGTTCGGATTCCTACCTTCATTTGTCATATGTCTGTGTATGCACATGTGTATGATTATGCATATTCATCCATCCATTGCATTAGACCTAGCAGTCTTTCTGCCCCATATTTTGCTCCTGCTCTGTGTCACCTCGACAACCAAAGGGAATCAAGATCCTGCATGTTGCTGTTCAATTGTCTCCCACTGGTGTATTCGGCCACCTTGTGGGTTTCTCTCTACAATTCTGGCTCCTCCTTGCTTTCTACACTACAGTTTGTCTCTTTAACCACCAAACTATATAGACGTCCCTAATCTCTCCATCGAAAGACTCTACTTAACTTGGCCTTATGACAAGCTAGCTGGATGTCACCTACACACTATCTTTCTGTGACATGTAACTGACCCCTCAGTTTCTGGCAAATAGGGTTTATTGGCCAGAAAATTTCTCTACAAGACTAGAATGTTATTACTTCAAAAATAAAGTTTTGTCCAGAGCCTGCTTGCCACAGGCTAGTACATTTTTTAAAAAGATTTATTTATTTATGCACGCAGAACTGGAGTACAGGCATGGTGGGAGGCTTCACCGAGACAAAATGGGGAGCAGAACAAGCAGATGAGGAAGTACACTGCTGAGGGGAGCAGTGAGCCGGTCAGGAGAGGTCTGCTGTGCCATGTGGGTCACCTCTGGGGTGGGGATCGAACTCATGCTGAAGTGGTGTTAGCTTCTTAGTGCTGTGCTCCAACCTGCTGCACCACCAGGGAGGGGTCACCAGTAGATTTATATCTACCTAATGCAGGACAACTTCCTCTGGGATCCTTCTTGCCTTTCATCTCACAGTATTGGGAATTTTCCTAAATGTCCCACTTAGTTTTATATAAACGTTTTATCTTTGGTTTATAGATAAAGAGACAGAGCCTGAAGGAAGTTGAGAGACTCAGTAGAGCCAAAGAGATTGCTCAAGTTGCCTCCTAGACTTTTTCTTGTGCAAGATATTTGGTGAGTGATGAATTCCTATAGTGTTACCTACTATTAGGATTGTAAAGAGATTTTTCTGCTTTCTTTGTTTGAAACCTGTGTGGATGGCTGTGGAATAAAGCCCACAGGGATGAATGAGTAGCTGGTGTGAGGCGGTGGCCACTCAGAAGGCTGCTTCAGAGCAAGTGGAGACAAATGAGAAACAATTTAGCATCTGGACAACATCTGCCTGGTGTCTGGCATTGCCTCGCCCAACCTTATCGGCCCATGTCTCTGCAGGAGACCTCAACACACTCATTACTGCCACTGCACAGGTGGTGTCAAGCCGATCTCTGGGCTTCAGTTCTGCCCTGTGTCATCCCAGGCTCCTCGTGGACAAGCCCTGTAAAGACTGCCCAGTTTGCTGAACTGCCAAGACACCCTGGAGCAATGCCCCCACATGGGGTCTGGATACATTAGATTGAACCCAGCAGGGGGCCCTGGGAGCTTCTGAAGATGAGAACACCTGTGGGTGGAACTACATAGGATGAAGGAGCACCCAGGTCACACCCTTTAGGTAAAACTCTCTCACTCTGAGGACTGTAAGCCCCAGCTTCTCTAGGCCTCCAGAGACCTGAGCCTCCAGAGGACATTATCACCTCTGAAGAGAGGGGTTAGCCAGTGCCTCCCCCAGCTGTTCCAGACACAGCTCACTCTGGAACCAGAGGAGGGCAGAAAGGCTTTGCTTTTTGTTACACTATATGTAGAGGAAGTAAAAAAAAAAAATGTGTTGGCCAATAGCAAAAATAAAATCTTGCTCCTTAGCTCCTCCCTTCTTGATATTGGGACTTTTTCTGACCCCTTACACCCTTTCTCTTTCCCCGGCCTCAAATAACCCCTGGTTGAAATATGAGGACCTGTGCTGGTTTCAACCCCGTGATGTCCAAGTTTGGAACAACCTAAAACACGTGGCATGTCTTTAGCACTCTCTGCACATTTATAAAGAAGGATGAGTGTGTTTCCACTTAATATTCTCTAATAGGAAGCTTTGCAAGGAGGAATAAGATGGGTGGAAAGTGAGAGGGAGAGTGAGCGAGCGAGCGAGAATCTGATTTCTTCTTGTGGCATATTCTATCAACTCATACGGCATGGTTTTGAAATAAATGGACAAGTCTAAAATTTCTTCTACACTGTTTAATCACTTTAAATATATCCCATTAACTATACCATTTTATTTAAACTTAACAAATGAATTTTCCACTACTATTTTCGAAAAGGTGTATTTAATACATTGAAATAAACTTCCATAGAGGATATAGGAGCACAGTGGTGAGCAACCAATCTTTTTGCCCTCATGAAAGTGGATCTTAGAAGAACTGATGCTTTATGATTATGGACAAAAAAACAAAAACAAAAAACAAAAAAATAAACAAACAAAAGCAGTGAGTTAACACTGACGAATTACCCTTCCTGTTGAGAGAACTTGACTTACTTTATATGTGCAATGATCAGGCTTTTAAGAAAATGCTTATTAGCATAAATTAGAGAGAAATTTTGAAAACTCTCATATTACTATTGCTCAGAAGGAGAGGCATCAGACCCCAAATCTGAGTTTTCCTTTGTTTCATTCAAGTTTTCAGGACTTAATTAATACTGTTTTATCCCTGTGCTTTTGTGCTGCATCGGTACTGAGTTTTGTCCTCTTGTATTTTCCAAACTGGTAAAATATGTCACCATAAGCAATAAAAGGGGATATGCAGTTTTTAATGGGGCCAGCTTACCTGCAACAATTGGTCCTTCATGGTTATCCTAGCAGAAAACCTTTTCCAGAAAGGAATGTTGAATGTTCCTGACAGCTGATCCTTTATTAAAACCCATCCACACAAGACTTTAGGTCCAGATTCTGGAAACGATCCCTTTCATCATTTTTGTCTTTCTAAGTTTCTCATGGATTGTCCTTCCCCTCTTCTTTCCAGCTATACTTTTCAGAGAAGCCTGGATTAGAGGGCCCTGGGTGGGGTGGGAAGGAGGGAGTGGCAGAAATACACCACAAAAGGAAGGCCATGTACAACTGTGACGTTTAGCACAGTTCTGTAATTGAGCGTTTCAAAGACCTAGAAAACCACTTACAGTATTAACCAGTGAACGTCAGAATTGTTCTCCAAAGGGCTGATTGACACATAACGGAAAACATTGTAATTACCCATTATTAAATTTAATGTCCCAAACAGATGGTGTTCTATCCCCCCCCCCCCACACACACCACCTAAAAAAATGGATTGGTCACTTGATTGGAAAATTATTTCTGAGCCCTTATCTCAAACCCACTTGCTTAACTTCTGTGGCAGTCTAACGTGACTGTAGATACCCTTGCTTTGGAAATTTAACCGTAAGATCATTTCTAATTTATTTTAGTTGATACATAAGGGTTAAGTCTGTTCCAAATTGTCAGAAAATGAGGGAAATGAAAGCAGTCTTCTGACATCCCTTTGGTCAAAACATAGATTCTTGTGGATACTTATCTGGAATTCTCTGGAAAATTCTAACCTTCATTCTAACCCCACCTTCTAGTACATTCCTCAGGACCCCTGAGGAGTCCTCAGCTCCAATTAGCAGTTTTGAGACTACACCCTTGAACTGCCACGAAGGCAGAATCTGGCAGATCAACTGAATTCTAAAAATCTGTAATTCTAGTGATGGTGGTTTGTTTTTTTTTTTAATAAAAATTAAAATACATTTAAGAAATCATCAGAGCTCTGTTGAACACCCTTAAACACCCTGTGTTGAAATCACAGCAGAAATCAGTTCACCTTATTTTGACTTTGAAAATATTTTATTTGAATAGTAAATAGTTATACAGTTGAAACAGTTCTATTGAAGCTTTCTATAAATTGCTAACAATTAAGAAAATAATGTATGTAGAAAAGAGATTGCATTTAAAAGTAAGAGCTGTCGGTTGTACAGGGCCTCAGGGGTCCCCCAAGCAGAATAAAATGGTAGGTTGTCTGTAATTCGCTCAGATAGGTATAAAAGTTAAAACTTTTAGCAGATCCCTTTAGAAAAAGGCTCTCTTCTAAAATGCACAGTGAAATGTCGAGTGGCAGGGGGGGGGGAAAGCACACAAAAAATCTGCAATCAAATAATATCATAATCTTCATAATTAATATAAATAAATAAAGAATAAATAACAATTACTCATAAATCAACATATACATTTAGAGGGAACTCAGTCCTACCTCGGAGATGATCAAACCAAAAAGTCTTACGTGAAATATTGAGGCAGTTTCTACAGCATCTTCTGAAAATTCCCTCCCGCCCCCCAAAAAAACAATTCCAAACAGACAACAGTTCAAGGCATTTGTGGCTATCTAAAGAAAACTCTTTTTTTAAGCAATTTGATTTGTTCACATACAAAAAGGTAAAGCCAAGCTCCAGCAGTTCACAAGCCATAATAAAGCTAATCGTGTGGGAAGTTCAATTTACAGCCTGTGAAATATAAAGGCATATATTCCTCAAGATTCACCCCCAAACAACCCGTACGCTACATACATAGAGAGCAGAGATTGGTAGGCGAGAGCAAACCGCATTTCTAGACCATGAACACAGCGAATACTAGCAAGAAAAACAGCTCTCCCTTCAAAGGGGAGTTTCCAACCACGAGACAAACGCGGACAGCATTTCTCCCCAGTACAGAAAGAGACTGGCTCCTGTTGCGCCATGGGGGGTCGGGGGGGGGGGAAGGGGACACAACGCAAAGTGGGGAGAAAGGGTCCAAAGGAGTCAACAACGAAAGGATGGGGTTACCGTCACGCCACACCGAGAAGCGGAGACAACACTTTCACCGGGGGTGGGCGCCCCCCGGCGCCGACGCGGGTAAGGGGCGCGCGGGGCGCGCTCTCTTCTTGGGTCTCCAAGCGAAGGCACAGTTCAGGGGTGGAGGACGCGCTCTAGCAGGCGGGACGCACAGGCACCTGCAGAAGGATCACCTGTCTGTTCTCGGACGGGTGGCACTTGTTGATGTGCCGCGTGAGGCCAGGAGAACTGTAGAAGGTGGCTGGGCAGTACTTGCAGGGGAACACCTGTGCGGCGTGCAGCAGGCGCAGGTGGCGCTCCTGGGCGCCCTTGCTGGGGAACGTCTCCCCGCACACCGGGCACAGGTGGCACTCCGCGGACACACTTAGACCCAGCACGCCGGCCGCCTCTCCGTCGCCACCCGCCTCCTGGGGCGCCTTCTCGTCGGGCCCTGGGTACAAGGCCAGCAGGTCCTCGGCTGGGGACGCGGGCGGCGCACCCTTAGCCTGCAGCGCCTGGTGGTGTGCCAGCAGGTGCTTGCGCAGATAGGCCTGGCGGCGGAACTTCTTGGCGCAGTGGTGGCACTCATAGAGCCCGTCCTCCGAGCCCGACTCAGAGACACCGCCAGGGCTTGGCGTGTCGCGGTCGCTGCTGCCGCCTCCCGTAGCCTCTCGCGCCTCAGCTCTGGCAGCGGTTTCGGGCTCCGACGGGCGGGTCGCGGCGGGCGCAGGCCTGGGTTTGTGCCAGCGGCGATGCGAGGCCAGGTTGGCCGGGCAGCTGAAGACCTTGGCGCACTCCGGGCAGCGGTACTCCACGCGCACGATGCGCGAGCACTTGTGCTGCGCCAGCGCGAACGGGTCGGCGTACTCCTCCTTGCAGAGCTGGCAGATGAACTCGCCCAGCGGCCGCGCCGCGCCCCCCGCACGGCCCCGCGGCGCCTCCACCGGGCCCTCCTTGATCTTGAGCCCCAGCACCGGCGACGTGGTTACCTCGTCTTCGAAGTGCAGCTTGCGGATGGCTTTGGGCTTCTTGGCGCCCGGGGCCTTGGCTGCCTTAGCTGGAGGCTCGGGAACGGCGCTGGCAGCAGCCGCGGCGGCGGCAGGGGGCGCGGGCCGCTTGCCCGGGGG